AAAACAAGAAAATACAAATTAAAAATCCAAATATGCAAGCTAAATACCCCAGCTCCTGGAATGGAATGCCAATGATATCCCCCAGGAGTTATTTGCCTAGAATGCACTCGCCCAGCTTCATTAGGCAGCTGGCAAAGACAAAAGCCAGGTGCGCTGCAAACTCATCCCGGAGCTGAATTCGAAGCCCAAGATAAGCCGGGACCCACAGCGGCTTAAGATGTAATAAAAGGAGCAGATTGAAGGGGATGGAATGCAAATTAAATGGCCAGGAAAATGCCAGAGTGCGCTTGAAATGCCACTTATTTTTAGACCGGCCAAGTCAACCGATACAAATCACTTTCACTAATTATGCCTTTGCACTGATGGCCAGTAAGTTATCTAAAGAGTCCGGCTAAAAGGCCAATGGACACGCAGGAAACCATGTCGAAAGTCAAGGATGAGCCCAACGCAGCTGGTCACGATCAAGTGGCAAACTAAGTTTGCCTTGTTTTTCTCAGAAATCAAGGGTACAAAAAAAATGCAAAAGTTCTCAGAAAAAAGTGTAAATGAGCTGGCAGCAAAAGGTTTTAAGTTTCAGGGTCCGAGCTTATCGGAAATAATCTCTAGTCAGTGGCTTTAATACACCCACGAGAAGTTCTTTCTTCGAAAAAAAATAAATTAAAGCGAAATGAAAAAGTATAGCACACATTTGCAGGCAGTTCAAGGTGCGCGCCACACGTTGCGACAATTTTTAGCTGGCCAAAATAAATCGAGGCGATAGTCGGCCAAAGTCCACCTAGCCATGTCTGGGCCACCGGCCGCTCCCCGAATCCATCTGTCTGCTTTTGGGGCTGGCTTTTTTCTTGGTCAACCACTGGATGTCCGACTGGCAGGGTGCGCCATCGTGTGTGTTTGCCACCTGAGGTCACGAAAACGTCGCTCTGTGGCTTAGTTTAATTAAAGTTCTCTTGAAAATTCGACGTCAGTGTTATGGCTTTATTTGCTGGCCTGTCTGCCTTGCCTGCCTGTCAGCCAAAATGGCGAATTGAGTAATTTATTTCTCCCCAGGCAGCTGCAACAAATTTTGCACACGTGGCGTATGCGTGTTGTTCGCATTTAATTGTTCATGCAGCGCTTGCAATTTCACTTTACGCCCCGTCTCAATTCGTAGACCACTTTCGTGGTATGGCATATTTATATTTTTATTGCCAAAAAGTTGAATTTTCCTTGTCTTTTTTTTTGTGCCCTCGTTGTCTGCAAAGTTTTGTCACCTAAATCATTTAGTGGAATATTGCCGGGGCTGTAAAGCAGACGACATTAAACGAAGTACCGAAGCGCCATCACAAACCGCTGAGAAATGGTTAAAATTTAGCTTTGCTCATTATGGAAAGAGCCATAAAGCTGGTTATACTTTGGAGGTGCAAGATTTTAAGTCGCAGGCTGGTAAAATATTGTTATTTTGTCTCTTGCTAAGGTGTGGTTTAAAGGGACATTATTCTAAAGTTGCTTACTTAAAAAGTATAAAAAAATATGGTCAAAGTAATTTTTTATTAGATTATTTTTAAGCAAATACATACCAATATAAGTAATAGAAGTACTTTAATATCTAAACCAATTTTGAATTATTGAACTATATATTTTTAACCAATTTAGAAACTTTAAAACTTAATTACTTTTCCCATACCCTTAATAATTTACTTTTTATTTTTTCTCTAGCAACGTAATCCATCATTTTATAAGTTGCCCTTTTCTTCTGCAAATAGTTTCCATTATAACTTTCTGGAAATAACAAGGCAAAATATCTTTTTAAAACATGGGTCTGAAAGCCGGAAGAGATAAAATATATAAGACATCATAAAACCGCTCCTTCAAGGCCAGAACTTCATTCGCCATCTCGCTGTGCAGGTGGATTTATTTTGGCCGGAAGGGAAATAGCCCACCTGCTTTAGCCACCCACTGTGGACCATCGATTCGCAGGTTTCGCAGCTTACAAGCCCGCCCTCTGTGCACACATTTCGGCAATGTTTTCGCTCATTTACCAATTTGCAGTGGAGCTGTTGGCCTGGTTGCGTGTTGCGTCTATTACCCACTACCGCTTCCAATGATGATCGATGCGTTGATGTGGTGGCGGTCAGGAATTATGACCATCGATAGCGGCAGCACGCACATTTTCAGGCTCGCCAGTGTCCTTGCCCTTCGCTCGCATGAAAATTGGTAATATTCACTCAATTTATTGACTAATTGCATTTACACTGGCTAATGAAAACGCTCAAATGCCAAATAAAATGGCGAATTTATCAAATTCTCTCACGCGTCGTCCTTGGTTCGTTCGATGGGACAACGGGGCGCATGAGTAATGGCAAATCAACGTCGCAGTGAGGGCCGAATATTTGAAATGCTAATTTATAAATTGGTCGTCGCTGATTCGACAATGATAAAGAGCTCCGCCCAGGTGAGCGGTATTAGGTGTGAAAATGTAATTTACGCGGAGATTAATGGAAAACTCGTTAGGCTGACTTCCGAGCAGAGTTTTTGAGGCGCACCGATTTAGTTTCGTCACGAGAACTGTTTCTCGACGACTGTCTCCTGTCAAATAAATGTCTGCAAGTTTCTGTGGTCAGGCTGCCCCACCTGTCGCCCAATCTTCTGCAGATGACTCCTGGCTGACGGCAACTTTCCAATTAGAGGCTATAAAAAGTTTACCCTGCTGCCTGCTAAATAATTGAATTGTTTTGGCCATGTCCACATGGCTATCAACTGCTTGTTTTTGACTTTTGGAAAGCCTTTTGTTATTGCATGGCATATATTATTTTATGCACTTGCAGCCAGCTTAATTAGTGCGAATTCGAGAAGGTTTCCCTTCGGCCAACTTTCACCAGTTGGCCAGTAATTGGTTCTTTAGCCTCGTCAGCATTAAAAGTTTGTTTAAATGGTGCACGGTCGAAAAATGTTGAATGAAATATGATCTGATTGACTAAAGTTTCTTGCTGAAATAAAAAATTGTTAGGTACAATTTTCGTTTCCCAAATATATTCTATTCTCTAAAGCAATATATTTTTTTGACTCGAAAGAACTTTTAATTAGAGCAGAGAAATAAGAATTTGATTGTTAAGATTGTTACTTTTCACGCTTGTCACTAATAAATTAATTAATAGATTAAAAAAACCAAAAGTAATTTTTTTTTAATTTTTCCAAAAATGTACACAACTTTTTTAATATATGCCGGTCTGGGGTTCTTTTCTACACTTTTCTTTTAGTGTTTCTATCCTAAACTCTGTTCTGCCAGCTAATTAGAAAAATAGGGTCCTGATGAGGGACTTGCAGGGAGGATATCCTGCACATTATGTTTTCTGTTTACCACCTCCGTGCGGCTCAGACAAACGCACAGAGGAAGGTTGTTTGCAGCTCGCATAATCAAGGGCGGGGGCCAAAGGCAAACACGGAAACAACTTGTTGCAACTACAAGCAGAACAAAGTGGGTACATATGTACATGTGAGTCGACACCAGAGGACACAAGGTCCTGCGGACGTGGAATGGGGAATGAGAGCTGCGGCCGGAAGAGGGCTGGAAGTGCGAAAGGACGCTTGGCTCAGATTATAAATTATTTATACTGTTTGCCGAACAGGTAAAGAGTTTCCACTCTGCCTGCGATATTTGTTCAGGTCCTTTAGGAAGCGGTGAAACCAGGTGGAATTCGAGAATGAAATTCGATTTTATCAACAAATCTTTTGGAAAATAAATTGCACTATGTAAAAGTAACATTTACAGATTTCTTATTTTCGTTTGCTTCTGATATTAGCACTAAAAATATAGTTGTAAGATGCAATTAAAATTTTTAAGAAATATGCAAATATTTTTACTTTGAATTGGATCATTCATTTTTCTATGTGCTGTATTATTTTTGACCTTGTTAACCAATCAATTGCTAAACCAAATTCAATTAGATTGCACATTTTTATGGGGCAAACACAGGAACTCGATCAAACGGGCACGCAGGAGTGGAGTCCATTACAACAATCGTTTTTACATATTGTAAACAGGACAAAGCGCAATTGTTACTTGCACAAAGGACTTGCACACACATCGAAACGAAGGAAAACAATGCCAAACAAACAAACAAATGGCGAATGGACGTGGATTGTGGGCTAAGGGGTGTGGCAATCGAAGGTGAGGCCGAAGGGAGATAGCACGCTGTGATAATTGAAATTCTGTCGCGCGCAGCGAACGAACGACACCGTTTCCGCTAAGCACTGGCAGTCAGAAGTGGGCACGAGCCCCTTCCCACCCCCATCCTATATAGACCATACCATGGCCATACCACACCAGCCCGACCAAATCAAACTCGAGGACAACTGGCGCCCCGCTCCTGAAACAATGTAATTGAGTGGCGACAGGAACAACAGAAGCTGTGAACAGCCCAAATGGGAAGCCTTTCATTCGGCAACTTTGTAGGCGGATTTCCCCAGTTCCTATTCCCCGCCTATTTTTAGTCCTATTCCTGTTTCCATGCGGGCGATAGCGGCCTTTATTGTTCCGCCAAAGTGTCATAATTGTTTTCGTTTGCACTCTCCATTTATTTAAAGTGCCATTTCGTGAGGTCTTTGTTTCAAACGCAGGCTATATATACATTTTATTATGGTTGGAGGGACACTTTCTTGGCTTCGAGTGTCAGATTCAAAAACATTCAACTAAGTGGAAGAATACTTGATAAATTCAATATTTCAGAAAAATTTAAATCAAATTTAAAAAACAATCGATCAGAAACATTTATATTTGTGTATATCTTTGAAAAATCAGACCGAAATCTTTTCGATGAATTATCGTTAATGTTCGTAGTTGATTTTCAATAATTGGAATCTGAATAATTAACTTCATGTCAACACACAGGGTCCTAACTTATTTACTACCATAAAATATAATAAAAAAAATTTTTTTAAAACAAAAAAAAAATGAATTTAACAAAAAACATAAATAAAGATAGCTCCATCCCTGGTACGTTAATCAGCTGTTTACCGGCAAATTATATTGTTTATTCAACCAACTGTTCCTCTTTAAATTTAAATATGCAGCGATTCCTGAAGGTGTTCAATCAGCAAACATGCAAAGTAATTGGCATGATACACGTGGATGCGCTGCCAGGTGAGGAAAGCTTCTCAAAAGTGGAAAGCAACGAAAACCGATAGCCTCTAATCCGGAACCGCAACACCAGGAACACCACGATACACCGGCAACTGGAAGCAAACGATTGAGAAGGCCATCTACGAGGCGAATCTGTACAAGAAACACGAACTGGTAGGGTGAATAATACATTCTGCTCGTATAAATTTCATGAAAGTCCTTTACAGGATGCCGTTCTCATAGAGAATATGCACGATATTCCCTATGTCCCAGAGCGTCTGCTTGGTGCCGAGATAGTGGCTTGCATGACTCGACTGGGACAGGCAGTGCGGGATGTGATGCCCAAGGAAACTCCATGTGGAGTCCAGGTCCTAGCCTGCGGCAACAAACAAGCTCTGGCCATTGCCAAAGCCAGTCAACTGCAGTTCATCCGAAGTGAGGGATTCGTTTTTGGCCACGTGGCGGATGAAGGTTACACTGACGCCTGCGCCGGGGATTTGCTGCGGTACCGCAAGCTCATCGATGCGGAGGATGTACTGATCTTCACCGATTTGAAGAAGAAACACAGCTCACATGCCATAACAGCTGATGTCAGTCTCTTGGAAACCTCGCATGCGGCAGAGTTCTTTCTCACCGACGGCATTATCATCACGGGGACAGCAACTGGTCATGCAGCCAGTCCAGAGGATCTGCAACAGCTATCTGGAAAGGTAAAGGTTCCACTGATCATTGGCTCCGGGGTGACCAAGGATAACGTTGACAGTTATTACAAGGATGCCCAGGCAGTCATTATTGGCTCGCATTTCAAGCGAAATGGAAGCTGGCTGGAGGAGATAAGTGAACAAGCTGTCGACGATTTCATGCAAAAGATCTGCCAGTTACGTCAGTCTAAATGATTAGAATTGTAAATGATTTTATTGATGTTAATGTTGTAAGCGATGAATAATGTATATGATTAGGTTTGAAGTCATCTAATTCTAGAATAGATTTGCAAAGAAATCATAAATTCGCTCACGTAATGAAGCGGGTTTTTGTACGGCAACCCCGTCGTCTGAGAATGCAAAGGGTTTCTGGTCGAGAACCGGAGACACTGCATCCAATGTATCGTCGAACTTGACTCGCTTCTTTTGCGGCGGTGAACAGATTTCCTCGTGGCTCTTTAGATGTACGGGAAACATGTTTTCCCCGTTGAACAAATCCTCGCGCTTCACAAATGTAGGAATGGTGTTGTCCACATTATGAGCCCGAAAATAGGATTTGGAGTCCGAGTAGCGACTTGCAAACCCGTAGCTAGGGTCGTGGTCATTGTTGGGCACCGGCACATTGCTGCGTTTGAGGATGCCCCGAACATTGGCCACTTTGTCACCGGTGGCAATCTTTTTGTACAATTTGGATATACGATTCTCCTTGCAGGCCATACCTCCTGGTCTTCCTGCCTGATGACGCATCTGCACTGCGCTAGGGGGAAGAGGTGGTGGAGGTGGTGCAACACGTTTCCCCATTAGATTTGAATTCGGAATTTTTAAAACGCCACTGGGTATCTTTCGCTTGCGCGGAAAGCAAGCACTTTCATCGGTCTCCTCCTCGGAATCAGTGCTACGATTTTTGTTGCGAAAAACAGTCTCATATTCCTGAAAAACATTAAAATAATTAACTTTTGTCTTATTATCCATTAGTTTTAGCTACTCACGCATTTGCGCTTGTTGGGACTCAGTACATAATCAGTTCCGAACTTTTTCATGTCCTTTTTGCGTATGGGCGTCCTCTTACTCGAATCCTTTCGAAGAGTTTTGCGGCACTGTACGTGCAGATCTATGGCATCGCGGATGAAGCCTACCCAAGTGCGCGACAGCTGCACATCGCCGCTGCCAAAGATGATTCCATCATTCTGGCAAGTAAGCTTAAAGTTGCCCGGTAGCATTTCGTACACTTTGCACTTTTTCAAAGGGAAAATACAACAGCACTCCAGAGAGTTTTCCACAACAGTATTGGGCGCCCGTTCTTTGACCATCTTGCAGTACATGAATATGTCCGACATGAGCACGCAATAGCGCTTGATTTCCGTGCCCTTGTGGGTAATCTTTTGAAGAATGCCCTCTTTGATGACCCGTCGTGATGGCTTCACAATATTGGGAGTCCGATTAACCAGAGAATTCTGCAAGTGGATCAGATACTGTGTAATTTCCTGTTCCTCCACACAGGTGTTTATGTGACAGGCTGTGGCCTCGATCTCCTTGACGGACTCTGGAAGGATTTGGTAATCAATTGGAATTCAGAATTAGCTCAGTTCTTATATCTTACCCTTTAATAATTTGTAATCCGCATCTGCAGGACTTGTGTAGAGTAGTACTTGCTCTAAGAGTAGCTTATACCTTGGAACCCGCTGGATTGGCACAATCATCAGTGAGTTAAGCTTACGCTGCACCTCCGGACGACTCTCGGTCTGCTCTAGAAACTTTCTGAACACCGGATTCTTGCTGATCAAATCCTGGATGATGAACAGGGCTCCGCGATAGTCGAAGGCGTACACCGAATACAGCTTAAAGAAGGGAGCCATCTTGAGAAAAGCATGTGCAACATTCTCCATGTTAGCCTCAAGTTCCCGCAGGAATTCCCCATTCAAGTTGTGGATCATCTCGATCTGCCCGAAGAGCAGCGTGTGATTGTTGCAATCGATGATGGCCTGTTCCTTCAAAGGGCGCACAAAGAAGTTCATCAGCAACTCCAACTGATCCAGATATGACTTTTCCGAAGAGATGATCTCCTGGATGGCCTGCCGCCGGAAACCCAATCGTTTTCCGCACTCTGGATTGGGTGAGCCAATGGGACTGCTGTTGTTGCTGTCCAGCATGGAGCAAACTGTTAAAAAAATTCACAATTAGGACATGAACACCTGGCGTCGCCTTATTATTTGCTCACCTTTCCTGCGCGACTTGGCGGTTAGGAGATTACGCTCCTGCAGGACTTGCCGCAGTTCCCGGCTGAAACTAAGAGGTGTTTGGGGCGAGGGGATAAAGCCATTTCCGAATCCTTTCTGCCTCGGCGTAAACATTTTTCAACTAAGATTCCGTTAAGCAAAACTGAAACAAAAAACGACGCCACACCTGTTCATTTAAACAAGGCCCGCTTTCACAGTGTAACCGTAGGTCAACAGCAGCTTGGGTGTGACCGTACTTGCGACACGAATTTTGTAAGACCGTATATCCGAGAGGAGTTATTAAATTTAATGAAAAATAAATAATTTGTTACTAAAATAAAATATTAATCAGATTTCTTTGTCTAAATAGTGACAAATAAGCATATTTGGACCGCGGCTTAAGGTTAGAGAATTCGAACAGAATTTGTTTTCGCAAGCTCAGTTTTTTATACAGAGTGCATAAAACAAAACTTAAAATAAAATAAATTTAATTAAATTTTAAAAATATTAATAAAATTCAAAAACTTTGAACCCGCGAATATCTAGGTTCTCAAAGATACGATTCTTCGCTTTTCCGCCATGGTCACACTGTCACAGTTATTTATTTTTATACGTGGTTCGTGGCCCCATTAGATTATAATTAAATGTTGTTTTAGCAATTGCTGCACGAAAATGCATGCAAAGTTAAGCGAAATGGAGTTGCGCATTGTGGCGCGACTCAACGAGGAGATCGGAAAGGATGCCAGTCGGCTGAATCGGGCCAGTCACCTAGTAAGCCACTACAAGGAGCGCCTCCAAGTTTTGTCCCAAACGGTAAGGGGAAAACTATATAAAAAACATGTTTATTAACCACCCTTATAAACCAGCTTGACTACGAGGACGCCCAGAACGTGTCCTGCTACAAATCCGCCTTCCAGTGCCAACAGCAGGTCTGTGAAAGCATCGACTTTGAGCTGGAGAAGCTGGCCCAGTTCGGCGCCAAGCTGAAAAAGAAGCTAAAGGAGTGCCAGCCCGTCTTGGAAGGAGTAGCGGCGGATTTGACGCAAGTACGACAACTGCAGCGTTTGACGCAGTATCTGCGCCTGGTTCAGGACATTCAGGAGATCAGCGCCGCCCTGGGCAATGCCATTAATGGCAAGGACGAGGCCAAGTTGGTCAATATCTACCTAACCCTGTACGAGGGCAACGACTGCGAGCACAGCGTGGTGGGACGACTACAGGCCGTGAAGGCCCAGTCCCTAATATCATTCGCCGAACGCACTGCCACCTACTGGCACAAGCTGCTCCTCAAGCGCCTGTCCAGCGAGTTCGAGGCTGTGTTGAAGAGCATGCGCTGGGCGCATTTGGAACAGCAGGCCCTTAACTATTCACCCACTCGAGACACTGCCAAGGCCCAGCTGCTGGCCGAATACATGTTCCTGATCAAATCTCCAGCCGAAGAGCACGCGCCGCTGCTGAGCATCACGCCTAGCATCGTGTGCCAACCCATCAACCAGGTGGTGCAGCTCCTGTTGGTTCCCTATCGCCAGCGTTTCACATTTCACTTTACAGGCGCCAGGCAAACAAATCGATTGGATAAGCCTGAGTGGTTCTACACACAGATTCTTAACTGGGGCAAGGAGACGCATTTCTTCGTGGGCAAAACATTCCAGCCATCTGCCATAAAGGCAGGCAAACTGGACTATAATCTCAGGGTGGGTACTATTTATAACATAATAAGTCACATAACATAACATAACGTAACATAATAAATTCTAATCATTATTTCCTTCAGCTGGAGTTCATGCGAGGTCTGGTGCAGTTAACAATCGAAAAGCTTGCGGTGGACATAGAGCAGATTGCCCAGGACGAAATACTTTTTGCCCATCTGCTCGATGAGACACTGGCCTTTGAGTCTGAACTACGAGAGACTTTTGGTTATCCGGCGAGTTTTCCAAGCGCCATCTCCGTAATCACACAGCCCATGTACTTGCTTCGCTGGATTTCACTGGAAGAACGATGTGAGATAAGGGCGTTGTCCTCATTTTGCTGTTATTTAATAATTTAATCTTTACTTAGTTTGTGCGGAAAAAATGGATGACATTCTCCAGGCGGAAACGCCTTTCCAGCTAATCGATCCCAACACATTTGAGGATGATTTAAAGATACCCAGATGTGCGGATCAGTTTATGCGACTGCTGGACGCTATTAAAGATCGTTACTATGGATTAATTCAGCCCGGCCACCAACTGCAGTTCTTGCAACTCCAGCTGGAACTGATCGATAGCTTCCGACGACGTCTGGTGCAGCTCCACAGTAGTGGAGCCGTGCCCAGCATTCCCGTTTTGAACGCCATCAACTACTTAGTGATGGTACTGCGGGAATGGGGAGAGAACGTACACTATCTGCACCTGCACGCAGCACTTTCCGGTCCAAATGCACCGGAGATTAATTCGGTGTTTGAGCATGCCGTTGCTGAGTTAGAGCACTGGGCCAGGCAACTGATGCGGAATCTGGCCACCAAAGCCACCAACGAGATGAAGGCAAAATCGATGAGCTATCGCCATGACGCCTGGCCCACAATGCCCGAGCAGAACAGCCGGGAGCCGTTTATCCTCTCGCCCAGCGGTGGCGAAATGTTCCAGGTGCTGGTCACCCTGCTCCACAATCTGGAGCGTGAACTCTCCGCCAACCTGTTCAACCAGACGCTACGCTTGATAGCCCATCAAATCGATGATTTCATGCTCGAGAGCATGGTCATGAACACGAAATTCGCACCAGCGGGAGCAGCGCAATTCAATTACGACATGACGCGCAATTTATTTGCGCTCTTTGGACAGTATACGCGACGTCCGGAGCTGCTCTTCAAAAGGTGAGTCAACCAGAAATATGATATACTGCACAATAAACATAAATCTGACACCTTTTACATTCGATTCGGTTTGCCAGAATACACGATGCAAGCAAGCTGTTGACAGCGGCACGGGGAACGGCTTTGTTACTGCTGGAAACGCTGCGCAGTAGCCAGTCGGCGGAGGAAAAATCGAAACCTCTGCGGGAACTGCATGTGCTCAGCCTGGATAGCAAACAGTGCATTGAGGTTCTGGAGCGGAGAACGGACATAAAGATGTTTTAAACAATGAAAAACTGCAAAGTAGATAAATATTTTGTTTTACCTGAAAATCCTAGTTTTTATTGGGCTTAGGCAATTTTTGCAAATATATACAACGTTTATACGCCGGCTTTTTGCGAAATAAAATCTTTTTTAATTGAACTAAAAGTTAAATAAAAAAATATGTGTGTTTCCTTGTTTTGTACTTCACTTAGTTTTTGAAATTAAAAATATCTTAAAAAAAATTGTAATTTACATTATTTTTATTTGCAAGAAAGGCATGTATTTACTAGGTAATCAAGACGGAGATTCAACTATTTGTATTTTTACACCAGGTCATATTTTTAACCCGTAAAATGCTATTAACGACCAAGTTATAAGTTCGAGTAACATTCATACTTACAATTAAATACCGAAATTTCACCCTGTGGGCACAAATTTTCATAGAATTATTATTAGTAAACTACTTGGGTTTAGGATTGAATGTTTAGTTTAATTTGTAAAACGTTGACATAAAAACATGCGGTAACTTTAATAATAAATTGCTCTAAAAATATATAGCGTAAAATAGCATTTAAACCGGCCTGATCGGGCTCGAATCGCAGTTAGCGCGTTTGACACATCAATACTGATTCACGGCTGATCAGGGCGCATTGTATATTCCCCGTCCTCTGTTGACAAACAATTGCAGTTAGTAAATACCAATTTGCGACTCGAGGTGCACATCACACATCATCATCACATCGTGGAATAAGATCTTGGCGCATTGCCCGCAGAGGAAAGTTTATGTCTACTCTAAATAAACGATAATAATGCGATCTGCGGGTGCCATTCGCCTTTGTATCCCTTCTATTCAAAGTGCTGATAAAGTTCGGCGCTGACGAACTGTGCCCGCTGCGCTGGCGTCATGTTGAGATTACCGCGGTGCTTGTTGTTGTAGGCCCAGATGACTCCGGTGGCGATTAAGGCAATGGTCAGCCATCCCATGAAGAACAGCTGCAGCCACATGTGCTCTCCGCCGCTGTGATCCACAATGATACCAGCGAGGATGGTAATGACGGCCAGACCGAGATTCTGTATCGACTGGCAAAAGCCGTAGGCCGTGCCCAGCTGATATTCCGGAATGATGAGCGCCACTAGCGGCCACAAACTGGCCGCCAGCATAGAGTACGAGAGTCCCATGATGGACATTCCCACATAGGGCGTCAGCTGGGTGAACGTGAGCAGGGCATGGGCTCCAATAGTAGTCAGTGTCGCAGTGAACACCCAGGTCACGTTTTTGCCTACTTTGTCGATAATCAATCCGAAGAAAGGCGACGATGCGGCAGCAATTAGGTAGACCAGCGAGTCCACGGTGTTGGCCTGCGCCGGCGTATAACCGAAGCGATCGACGAAGAAGTTCTGTCCGAGGGCAATGAATGGAAAGATGGCCACGTAGTAGGCCACGCAAATGATGGACACCAACCAGAAGGGCGGTTTGAACGTAAAGACGTCCGTTAGCTTGGGAATCTGTCCGGCCGGGTTAGTGTTTCGCTGCAGAATCCGTTCGGCCCGCTTGTCCATCCAGCCGAGGATGAGGGCGCAGATCATGGACATCACACAGGTGCAGGTGGCCAGCAGCAGCACAACGCCCAGAGCACGGTGTCCCTTGTAGAAGTTGCTGACATAGTCGTAGATGGGCTGCATCACCCAGAAGTTGACGGTGCTGCCAAAACGGGCCACCGATAGCTGCAGGCCGAAGACCATGTTCAGTTCCTTTCCCTTGAACCAAAGCACAGCATAGCTATTCTGAGCCACGGCCAGCGATTCCGCACCAATGCCGAAGATGAACCGTCCGAGGATCATCATCCAGAAAGCGTCCAAAATGCCGCCGCAGGCGAAGATTAGCTGGCCAACAAGCAGGACCAGCATGTAGATAATGGTGCCGAGTCGAATGCCGAACAGCCGGTCGATCAGGAAACCGCCCACGAAGCACAGGACGACATTGGGCCACGAGTAAATGGAGTAGATGAGCGTGAACTGGGTGGAAGTCAGGTTCAGATCCCGCTTGAAAACGTTCTGCAGGGCTCCGGGGTTATCGTAGCAGAAGTAAGATCCAAATCCGAGCAAGCACATGAACACTAGTGCCAAGAACCGGTGACCCCTGCTGGCAGGATTGCAGCAGCCACCGGAGGGCAGGCTCAACTCATTGTCCTGCCGGCCGCCGGCCACCTCGTCCACATCGGTCGGATGCGACACCTCTTCGTTGTCCACGATACGTTCCTCGTCCTCGCGCGCCATCTCTGCTGGCTCAATCCGTACTGACCAGTGATTGGAACTATGTTCCGCAGAATGGGCGTATTCAAAACTGTATGATTAATCGGCCTTCTGATTTCCTGCTGCACTTGTTTTTTGTTTTTTGCTGCTTTTGCAAATGAATTTATGCGAACGAGCGAGTTGAACTCTTCTGCTTTGTCTTCGCTTATCTCGCTGCTTTTTTGTTTTTGTTTACTGTACTCGCACTAGTACCCTTTGTCTATTGATAGTTGTTGCCTGTATGGGTTACACTTCTTGTAGTTGTTTGTCTAAGTTCATCGGCTATCAATTTTCACACTCTACTTACATCGGTATTATGCAAATTCCCAGTGACGTGTGCACCCGCACTTTATTGCTGCTCAAATGAAACTAAATTGTTTTCTCTGCCTAATTAGCGTTAATTACGCATATACAATGGCAGGGCTGCCAACTCGTTTGCGGGCAGGGCTGTCGAATTTGCTGCAGGTGTAAGAAAACAGCTGGTCATCGATAATTAATTATTAATTGGGTAATTCCTTTTAATGTTGATTTACTAAAATCTTGAGTAATTAATGATTAAATATATAAAATTAAAAAGATACAAACTATTGTGAACACATGAAAAAATTTAATTGTTTAAGACTACTGACAAATTTAAATTGTAGGGGAACACCCTTAACGTAACCACTTTTAATTTAAATAAAATGAGCAAAATTAAATAACTTAATTTATTTAGAGAATCATAATTTTAAACCTGTGTTAGGTAAGCTAATCCCGTTAAAAAAAAAACATTATTTCAACTTGTTTTGATTTTCTTAGAAAGGCCTGGCAACTCTATCTCAGCAACGCCAAGTTGAAGCATGTTTTCTTGATTTTTACCGGGTAAAATGTATTTAATTATATAATCCAGCGGCCTGTGCAGCGATGGATCGCATTGATGTCACCAAGCGTAAACCCAGACGCACCCACGGCACACCATCCTATGCGTACCGTAATCGATTTGCCTATGCCCTATTGGCTGCCGGAACTGCGTTGTTCGGAATTTGGAGGTGATTTGTACATGGAAGTTTCTGATAAATAGGGTTTTAATGGGAAATCTTTTGCAGTCTGACGCCCATACAACGCATCGCCAACGAAAAGCTCTCCCAGGTTGTGGCTCAAACGGAACAAGAGCGCGATAGAAAAGGACTTTTCGATTTTGCAGCCCCGAGAACTTCAAAATTCATCAGGGAGGCGATCAAGGAAAGCGAGGAGCAGAGGAATAAATAATGGATCGCAAGACGCGTCGGGCCAACTTCAAAAACCTGCAGCCTCGGTAATTTTAATATAACCTTACCTGTTGAACAATAAAATGTATGTAGCTATCTAATCAAACACTTGGTTTTCCTTTCCATCCTAAGATCGACGCGAAGCACTAAAGCACCCACTGATACATTATTGCTATCAAACTTTTTTGCCACACCCGAGGAAGCTGGAGAGAATCCTCCATCTCCAGCTGCAGTTCTTGCAGAGCCTGATCCTCCAGCACCCAAAATCAAACCAATACGCACCAGCAATGTGTTCGAAAAACCTGGTCCCAAGCCAAAAAAGGCACCCAAACTTAAGGGAAGCAGTGCCTCATCCACGGGTGGTGCCCGTCGAGGACGCGGAAAGAGCAAACAACAGCCCAGTATCAGCAACTTCCTGCGGAACGAACAGATCTTCGCCGAGGTGACCGCCCAGCACTGCATGGCGGACAACTTCAGCCCGGATGACATTGAAATGGCGCTGGCGCTGTCCAAGTCGGAGGCTGAGAAGCGGGGGCTTCTGCGCTTAAACGACGATGAGGACGAAGTGGTTAACCTCGTCGATGATGAAGTGGCGTCTACGGAAAAAATACGGCTGAAACTGCAGAAGTATGGCTTTCGGACAGCCGCCAAGGAAGGTAAGTCATCCAAAAATAAAGTTCATCCAAAGGAAGTAGACGAATCTATTGTTTATTTTCTTAGATAAATTATTTAATTATTTTCTACCTATGACTGTCACAATGAATAGAGTCAAATGTAGAAGACATGCTCTGTTATCTCTTGCAAAATAAAATCCAATAATACTTATTATCCAATTTCAGATTACAAATCCTTGGCGGTACTGCCTGTTGTGGCAGGAAAGGGTGGTAGACGCGGCAAGTGGGCTAATAAGTTCACTGCCCTAACCTTACGCAATCCGGAAGTGCAACAGAAGAAGCTGGATGAGAAAGTCTCCGCATTGCTGGCTAAACAAGTGCGCACCAAGAAGCCTCAGGGCGAAGACAGCTTGATGCCGACTTACAAAGTGATTAGTTCATACCTTCATCAACTCCAAGTTAAATGTGAATCTCGAATAATACGGGAACCAGACGAAGGTGTCATAGAAGATTTAAGTTTATACTACGTAACCGACTTGATTGAAGTTAGCCAAGCGCCTGCCCACCATCTTCTAAAGAATTGGGCTGCAATACAAGGAAGGGATTTATCTCCAGAGCGTGAGACCCAGAAAACCCGCCGACTGAGACTACAGCTTGAACTTGTGTACGAGGAGTTGGAAAAGCATTTCGGAGATCAACAGAAGTTAGATCAACAAGTGATCGAGGCACTTGATGAACTAGAAAAGCTGGTGGCAGAGAACATGATCGAGGATGACTCCAAAGTGGATTATAATTTGGAGGCAGAAACATCCTCGACTAGCAGCAGTCCTTCGAAGGAACCGCCAGATAAGAGACCAAAAAGGTCAATGGATGATAAAGAAAACATGCAACCAGCAACTTTACCAGCTTGCTTAAGCGTTCCCAATCAGATAACTCGATGCACTTCGCCCGATCTGTTTGCTGATTCGGATGATGATCTGGATATGGCAACGAATTCTATTTCTAACGAACCCACGGATGTAAAGGACTTTTCTATGAAGGTTTACAAGAACATTAGTATTAGTGAACGATCGTCTCCGGTGAAGGAAGTGGAAATTCAATCCAGCAATGAAGATCCTACTCAAATATCGACATATGAGGTATTCTCCAGTGATGAAGGTAAGAACATATATTTTTACAGTTATATGCTAATGCAATTATATGCTAAAAACATTTTAATTTATTTCTAGTAAAGATTGTATCCAACGCTACACAGAAAATGACTGCTTTTGAGGGTAAGTTTTAGTTTTTAGAAATTTGTATGAACAAATTCTAATCCACATTTTATTTCCAGATAAACCTATAGAAGACTTTATTGATCTTACTCAAGAGTTTGAAATGATAGAATTTAATGACCCAAACTCGAAGATCCTAAGTTTAATTGCACCATCTGAAACCGATTTCAATAGTGAGAACTTAAATGAGGATATTTTGTTAGGTTCCAGTAGTCAGGAAGAAAGCTGTCCTATTTCCAAAGTGCATAAATTTTCTTTGTGGACAGCAGAAGACGATGAAGATAAAGAAGACATTTCCTTAAACATGGAAAAAGACACCCAAAGTTCCGAGCAGTCATCATTTCATCTAGACATTATCACCACACCAAATGACACTAAACGAAGTTCGAGTTTTAGTGAACTGAACTTTTCTAGGAACTCGATGCGAAGGAGCGTTAGCTTATCAACTGATCACAGCTTTAAGAGTCCGCTTAATTGGAAAATCAACCTATCAGCTGAGAAGAGGGTATCCCCAGCTCTTTGTGCTTATAAGCACTCGGATACAAGTTTTGATTTAACCCAAAACAGCGATGACGAAAATGATGTGATTTTGCTTTCCGATGAGGAAATTAATTACTCCATTTGGAAGGCCAATAGGACGGTTAAGTTTCAGGATGTTGAGGACGAAAGCTCGGACAGTTGTTTTGCTTCTCCAGTATCTAAGAAGCGAGCTGTTCCACATTTTCAAACTGAAGACGATCTGGATGCGTTCCTAATGGCCTTTCCTTCGGATAGGGATGGGTTACGAAATTCACACTCGCCCAACAAGAGCGTCCTTAGCAAGGAGCGTGCAGAGTTTGGGATATTAGATGCGGCTCCATCACAGCCATTTATTTTTTCACAACTGCAGAGCCCCGTCATAAAAGACTCGCCAACGAATATCGATATTAACTGGGCAGAAGCATCGTTTTTGGATGCACCAGTGAAGCCTTTTGCCCGCAGGAGTAGTCACAAATTCAATGACCTTCTGGCGAAAATCGACCAACCTGACGACTTTGATGAATTTGATCAGATGGTTTTCCGAAACGCCAAAAATACCACTATTGCGGCGGAAGCAGATGTCATGCCTAGTGGTCTGGATCTTTTGTTGAAGGGGGAAATTAAAACACCAGCAAGGCCAGAGCCTTTGCGTGAAAAAAAATCTCCTGTAGTGCCGGATCAAGTAGAGGTAGATGGAAATGTGTACACCGTACGTGTGTGTCAAACCCCCAAACCCGATTTCACTACCCTTTCCGAGTCGGAGATTCTACAACAACTTTACAACTACGGAATTAAGCCCCTTAAACGCAAGCAGGCCATAAAAATGCTAGAGTTTATATACAATCAAACGCATCCCATTATGCAGACTGCTGTTGATCAGGATTTGCCACCCAGAACTGAGCCCCTTGGCCGATCTAAATCCACTCCTGTGATGATGGCGGAACCCCGCTACCAAGTAGTCAAATCAACTACTGAGGCCTCGTTCTCCCTGACGCCAACTGAGCCGAAAAAAGATTTCAAATTTAACGATGCCACCGGAAAGGAACTTTTGCGTTTTTCCCAATCTCTTCCGGCGGGTCTCTGTGATGACTTTGAGCTATTTGTCACGCAAACAAACATTTCCAAGAAAACTCCACAGCCACTGGTTCCGCTCCACATCGCCTGGCACAACCTTCTTTGCGCAAATACGCAACTGCATGAGAGTGTTCTTAGGTATGAACCCATTGATCTGCAGGAGGTCTATTTATACTTAAAGCACATGGGACATCGTTACGATCCCAAGGATTTAAAAACCTTTTTTGACCGACGGTGCATTATCTTTCGCTATGAACTGGCCGCTCCCGGCAAGCAAGCGGATCGTCATGTGCGGAAGCACCCAAAGAAGCCATCTAGAAGGAAGTAGGTTAAGATTTCTTTGTAATTATACTTTATACCCTTTACCGAATGCTTTGTATTAATTTCTAGTATAACCTTAGAATGGATTATTGAGTAAGACATTGTTATTTGGCATATACCGCCTTAAAATTATTTCTTGTGAAATTTATCAACTAAAAATGTATTCCACACTGTCGAAACACGTACTGCTTTTTTTTTAATGAATACGTTTGGGAACAAAAATTAAATGCAAAAATTTGGGATGAAGAAGGCGTGGTATGCATTATTTCTCCTTTTATCTAAAGTTACTACTTATAATTAAAAAATAACCATATCCCAATTAGCTTTCAAGTAAACAAGAAAATTTTTGTTTATTCTTTTGTGGCCATAAAGTGTAGCTTTATTTAATGTATTTTTTGAAGACAATATTGAAAACTTAGCGGACAAATACAAATGTATGGAGTTTGCATTTACTGTTGTAGATACAATACAAAAGATATGTTTAATAAAAATAGAAAATTGGTCAACATTAAATGCAGCCTATGTTGTCTACCCAAAAAGGGTATTTACCATATAATTTAAATACAGTTCGATCTTAGGTCACTAAAAGACACTTGGACGGTATAATTTTCTTATGAGTCTCTACATTGAAGGCACATTGTCTGATTGAAGTAAATGGAATGGAAACGGGTCATACCATATTTGTTGCCAAATGAAGCTATTTGTACTGCATACAAAATAGATATGGTTTTGGGTGCAGAAAGGTTAGTGGGTGTCTTACAGCAGCTAGGGTTAGTTTTAGGGAGATATATAAGAAGCAATTCATAATATTGCCGGCATGTATAAGAAGTATGAACATTATTATCAGGGCTGTCCCAGAATTCTCAAGTTGTTTTCGGGACATTTGGTTGGAAAACCGTCATAAAAATGACGTCGTGTTCCATAATTTGATATTGGGGTGTTTTCGACATTTCAATAGTTACTATTTGCGCTGATTAAAAATATTTACTAAAAGTTTAAAGTTTCAGGGACTCTTTTGGTTGGATGAGATTTCTGGGACATCCCTGTGTGAGATTAGGCATAGCTTATCTCATGCTCGTACGTTTTCTCCCGCAGGTCGTCGTCATCCGGGAGGGCATGGTGGCGCAAACCGCACAAACGGGGTCCAAAGCGCAGCATGACCATTATCACGCCCACGATGAACAGGGCTAAAAAGGCCACGGCGGGATAAAGGAAGTAAAGAGCCATGGCTACTTAGATGTCGCTCTCGCGCTTTTGCAGCTCCACGTATTCTTCGCGCTGGCGTTGCTGGTGCAGGGTGCGACCCTCTGGGCGTGGTGGACGCTGGTGCTGCTGCTGCTGTTGATGATGATGATGTGCCGAGTGCACAGGCTCCAAGTCGTCAACGCCAATAAGTACGTCGTCGGGAAACACTTGTTGATGGGTAGTGGGCTGAAAGAACCACAAATATTGAGTACATCTTTCTAAGTTTATTATTAAATACTAATTTACAGAATTAATTAAATGATAAATAGAATAAAAAGTATTTCTGAGGATCGAAAGTTTTTAAAGATAATAAGCTTCAGACATATATGTTTTTATTAATATACATTCTAATAAAGTTCAATAAATATGGTATATTGACTCACATGCAAACGACTAAAGTAGGAAGCGTCCTTCAGTTCGGTCAAGTCCAGTGGTGGCTGATTATGCGGTGTGGCAGACCAAATGGAAACCAACCAGCGGTTGCCCGTGTGCCTATCTTGCCAGTACTTGCGGTGCTTGGAGCAGCAGCCCAGGATAATGTTCAGTATGATAATCGTGCCCAGGACAACTGTGCAAATGGCGATGGTCACATAAAACGGCGAGAAGCTGCCGTAGATGTGGCCGGTGAAGTAGGGATTCTTTTCGTACGCCTTGCGTTCCTCTTCGATTGTGGACATAGTCTTTTAGGGGTGTGGTACTTAAAAAGCGGTCAATAGCCTGCTGCACAGGGCTCAATTGTCTGCAAACAGGAACAGGTAAAAATGACAAAACAGTTCAACCACCACGTTACTAGCAGCTTGCAACCCGTGAAACCAATTGCCACCAATTCTAATTTGTCACATTGGGCGTGGCGTCACCAAAGCAAACTTAGCCATGGTACCGGAATTCGGGTGTCCCAGTTAAACGTCGACCTTACTTACCATCTGCGCACGATTGTTGGTCACTGAGACTGGCACAAGTCCCATTCAGGTGTGTTAACTTTTAAAAGTCGTGGAATACAACAATTACAGCCACTTTGCAGTTACGAAAACAACGCCCAAAACCTGGCTCAGATAGTTAGTGGTGGTAGTTGTTGGCTTTTCCCGCAGGGTTGCAAGTGATCGGTAACTGTCTAAAGATCGTCATGAAATAATTGATTGCATATTTTTGGGGATTTCTTAATCAGTAGCTTACTTAATATATTTAAAACAGAGCTCGCAACAACAGAGCATGTTGTCTGCAAATATATGTGCCATTTCAAAAAGAGCAAAAGCTCTTTTGCGTTTTTTTCGTTAAGCTTCTGTTTTGCATATATGTAAAATTATAAAAATTCTCTATTAAACAAATTATATTATTTCTTTTTGACAACAACAAAAGTAAATGTAAAGAACGTTTGCATTGAGTGTTTAGGTCAATCGGTATTTTGCTGACTTTTTTTTGCGACCGTTTCTCATTCCGCTCTTACTCAACACTGCTCAACAGAAAATATTATACATATGTATATTCTCTTTTTTTAGTTTAGATTTAATCTGTGATATCTGCAGAGAAGTTCTGTTCTTATAAACGATTATATAATAAACGATTCTAAGTCTTATTTTTAATTTCGAAGTACCGGTGAGTCCAAGTGTTAATAATTCCTTTAAAAAAGTATAATGGGAAATTCAGTTTTAAAAGTTTTTTCTTGTATTTAAAGAAAACCAACTACACACACACACGTCGACCTCCAGCTTATTAGAATTACACATTTAAGGCGCCGCCGCCGAATCGCGAAAATATCGGCGCAAATATCGGCCCTCACGCCGTCGCCGACGACCAAGCCATCGGCGTAAACCTCTAATTCGAATCTCCTAGAATGGTTGCCACTCCCTTTTTAATAGCTTGTTTGTAAAGGTTAGCGCAACTGTTTGGCCAATTTAGCTGGTTTTGAATTGAAAAAGAAACAAAATTTCATTATTGATTTAAACTTAAAAAATTGGTTTTCAACTTTTTAATTAATTCTAATGGCCAACTGTGTAATTTGTTGTTGGTTTTTCGGGAAGGTGTAAACACAAGCAAAAAAGGTTTAAGTTAACGTTAAATATTTTTTCTGAATGCACAACATTTTATTTATGCAGTTGAACGTGGGCACTAACCATACAACATATAGACGTCATTTCATACAACGAATTTGGTCACAAAATTTTTCACTCGGGGGGCCCCAGTGCTGGAATCGGCAGGCCCCGACACTTCGTGTGCCTTCGGGTTTTTTCGCTCTCGTTCTAATTCTTATTTTGACGCTCGCGCTCGAGTTCGGTCGTTAATACTATAGTTGATGTGCCATGAGCGGGGGATTATTTTGGAGAATATAATTTACATAGTATTCTGCAAGGGTATATCAACTTCGGCTCCGCCCGAAGTTAGCTTTCCTTTCTTGTTTTGTATTGCCTTTATATTTACTTTATTTACTAATTATTCGAATGAATAATATTTTTTACGCATCTTAGAGTTTATATTGGACTTTGGTAAAATCATTAAAGGAAAATACAAAGCACGGGCGAAACGAAAGCAAAAGTTCAAGTCAAAGAAAAAGACAGGACAGCGAAGAGCCAGCAGGACTTCAAACTGTAATTGGCCATGCGAAAAGAGCACTGCAGGTCGCAGGTAGCAAGTTGCCGGTTTCACTCCAAGAGAATGAGCTCCCAAAAGGCAGCCACAATAATAGCTGCCACAACACAGCCCAAAAACTGGCAAAGTTTTCCCAGAGAAACTCGTAAAATTACAAATAATTGTAGCATGTTACGGGTGAAAAAAATTCATAGGTCAGCGGATGGTCGATACGATCGTAGTTCAGCACGCGTTGCTACCGGATTCTGATCGTTCGGGAAAGTGGTGGTGGGTTAAAACTTAACTACTCGTACTGCTGACTTCGCGTACGTAACTAATATCTGATTTCGCGTGCTTAGGGGGAATAGGGGGCATAGATATACACTTTAATCAACTAAGGAAAAACAAATAGAAAAGAAATCAAGACAATCAATAAGAAGTAACAAATACCCTAGAACATGTTGACTTGTTGTTGTTGCTGTTGGTGTTGTTGTAGCAACGCTATATGCCCGCCCTACCTTGACCATTCGTTCCGAAAAAGATTATTTTGAAGAGAATGGTCCCTTGGTCAAGTCGACCTTCTAATACCCTGCCATATTTCTATGTTGCATGACCCCTTTTATGTCCGACTAGTGGAAGTTCATTTCGTATATCTCGTATTTATTCATAACATATATTCATTTAAAGATTTCGATGGGAATAATATTAAAGCTATTAAATTTAGATATAATTGAATTTACTATATTTAACAATTTATTTATATTTATTATGAAGTGAAACTAATTTTATTTTAAAAGTCATGAGAATGGAGCTGTGGGAAAGATAATATGGCGGGAATCATTACAATAATAATATTATAGTAAGAAGTGTAATAATATAATATTCTAAAATATATTTAAGTTGATATCAAAAGTTATAAGAAAAAATATAGAGTATCTGCTATTCATGGCACGAGTAATGTGTTTTATGTTTTGCATTGTTTTTGCTTTTGCATATTTTCTTTTGTTTGCATTCTTTTTTTTTTGGTTTTTATTAATTTTTTTTTTCGTAACTTTGCCGGCTCAAAATTTGCAAACTTAAATGAACGGTACTTTTTACCAAAATCTAATAGAGCAAGCCCAGCTTGTGATTTAAACACACCGCTCTGTATGCAGTCCCGCGACGAAAGCGCTTTCGACGATCCTGTGGAGAGAGGGGGGGAATGCTGGCTGCTGCCGAGTTTTATGCTTGGTTGTTTTAGAATTATTTAATTTCGTTCACTCATTCTTATACCCTTGCAGAGGGTATTATAATTTTGGTCAAAAGTGTGCAACGCAGTGAAGGAGACATCTCCGACCCTATAAAGTATATATATTCTTGATCAGGATCACCTCCTGAGTTGATATAGCCATGTCCGTCTGTCCGTCTGTCCGTCTGTCTGTCCGTCTGTCTGTCCGTCTGTCTGTTTCTACGCAAACTAGTCTCTCAGTTTTAAAGCTATCGAGTTGAAACTTTGCACACAGCCTTCTTTCCTTTGCACGCAGTATATAAGTCGGAACGGCCGGGATCGGCCGACTATATCCTATAGCTGCCATATAACTGATTGATCGGAAATGCCATAACTTTGGTGTTTGTAAAGTTAGGAAGTTGGAATTTTCTATGGGCTTTATATTTGGCCAATCAATCCGACCTACCAAATTTCATAAGAATCGGCCGACTATATCTTATAGCTGCCATATAAATGATTGATCGGATATGCCATAACTTTGGTGTTTGTAAAGTTAGGAAGTTGGGATTTTCTATCGGTTTTATATTTGGTCAATCAATCCGACCTACCAAATTTCATAAGGATCGGCCGACTATATCCTATAGCCGCCATATAACTGATTGATCTGAAATGCCATAACTTTGGTGTTTGTTAAGTTAGGAAGTTGGGATTTTCTATGGGTTTTATTTTTGGCCAATCAATCCGACCTACCAAATTTCATAAGGATCGGCCGACTATATCCTATTGCCGCCATATAACTGATTGATAGGAAATGCCATAACTTTGGTGTTTGTAAAGTTAGGAAGTTGGGATTTTCTATGGGTTTTATTTTTGGCCAATCAATCCGACCTACCAAATTTCATAAGGATCGGCCGACTATATCCTATTGCCGCCATATAACTGATTAATCGGAAATTCCATAACTTTGGTGTTTGTAAAGTTAGGAAGTTGGGATTTTCTATGGGTTTCATAAGGATCGGCCGACTATATCCTATAGCTGCCATATAACTGAACGATTGGAAATGCCATAATTTTGGTGTTTTTAAAGTTAGAAAGTTGGGATTTTTTATGAGTATTAAGTTGCATCATATGAATAATTTTGGAGAATATAATTAACAGAGTATTCTGCAAGGGTATATCAACTTCGGCTCCGCCCGAAGTTAGCTTTCCTTTC